TTCCATAACTTCATTCTTTATTTCTCTCCTCTTTACTGCTTAAGCTTTAACCCTTTTCCTATACCAACTGTATGTGTGTGTGTGTATGTTAGACTAGTTTAAGTGTTTATGTAGTTAATAAAGTCTTACTTGTATCACACTTGACGTTGTTCGTTGTTTGCTCATATCCGGAGTCCCTAATCATGCAGATTTATGCTACATGCTCTGTGTAGTATTGTACAGTAAGAAAGTTATTTCCCTTAACCAGGAAATTAACGTTCTTAGAATTAACAGACAGTTGACACTGGGAGGTCAAGTAAATACTTACAGCGGATCTAAATATTTATAATTAATTATAACTAGTTATGATTAATTATTCATATTTCCCCTTTGAGCTGATTCGCTACAGCGGAAATCCCAGATAGACCCGGGGAGGTAACTAGCCGCACGCTATACTGAGCAGACCGCACTCAATAATACAGTAAGAGAATGAGAGGGGGTCTTTGTGTTTATATCAACAAAGACTGGTGTACCAACCACACTGCAGCCGAGAGCTACTGTTCAACTGGATCTAGAGTATCTCATGCTGAGATGAAGACCGTTTTATATACCATGGGTGTTCTCCGTTGTTTTCGTAGCAGTTTATATTCCACCACAAGCTAATGTAAAACTAGTGCTAACACAGCTACAATCAGCTATCGGCAAACGGCAGGATGCTCCCCCAGACGGAGCCTTCAACAAAGCTGATCTACGAACAGTGCTCCATAAATTATATCCGCATGTGAAATGTTCCACCAGATGTTCCAATATTTTGGACCACGTGTACACCAACATCAAGGACTCACACAGAGCCTTCCCCAGCCATCCTCTTGGTCAGTCTGATCACCTCTCAGTGTTTCTGACCCTAGCATACAGACCTCTCATTCGCAAGTCAAGACCCATCATTCAAACTGTCAAGATTTGCCCAGAGGATGCCATAGCACAGTGTTACGTTCCTCGTATGTTTTGTATTTTTGTTTGCTCCCTGTTTTCTTTTCTCCTTTTCCTCTTTTGTTGTTTCTGCTCTAAATTCTTAGGTTTTGTTTAAACCATGTTTTGACCAAATCTTAGATTGTCTGATTCGGTCTGATACCCTACAGGTGTTAAGTTACCCCTATGATCAGCCAACGTAGACCAATGTGTTTTTGTTAAGTGAGTCCTGTTAGAATGATTTCAGGAAAAGGAGGTAGGTAAGTTTTTGCATTTAAATTTAGTTATTTTCTTGTTAGTTCTAGTTAGGGAGTGACTGCCACCTATGTATTTTGTTATTAATTAGGGTAGTTTATGTTGGGCGTCGGATACGCTGAAGTTTGCGGTTTTATTTCTACATTTTCTGTTTGATAGTTAGATTAGTTGGGTTGAGGTTAAGTTATTGGGGTTGTTTTGCTTTTGATTATTTCTTTGTTTTGGCGTCACTCGGTTTTCTCCTTTTTCCCATAATTTCGAAGTTATTTATTTTTAGTGATTGCCAATCTGCACCTCTCACCAATAAATGGTCTGTACATTTGTATGGTCGAACGTGATTGCCTGTTTTCTGGTCATTTCCTTTCATGGTTTGCCCCAGTGCCAGTTGTGTCTCACTTAAATGTTACGAAATACCCCACAAATATTAAACACGTAACATTTATTGGTGGCAGCAGAGGGATACTCATTTATGAGTATTTAATAATTTAGGGGATGAAAATGGTGAGATACACTGTTACTGGGGTAACCATGTGATCGTGGAGCAGGTGATTGTTGAAAAAAAAATACAAAAAAATTGAACGGCGGTTGACTTTGAGCTTGCTTATTGTTTAATGAAGCAATTAGAATGGCTGATTTTGATTTGAATAGTTTCGTTAGTAGTCCGACGATCGAGCAACTGAATAAGTGTAGAAAGGATGATTTGATTCGTGTTGCTGAGCATTTTCAAATTAAGGATGAATAATCAGCAGCTGAAGAGGGAGATTAAGTGCGTCGTGGTGAAGGGACTAGAGGAGCTTGGTGTGCTGGCGTTGGTTGACGGAGTGGAGCAAGAATCGCTCAGTGCTGATGCCCATCCTCTTGTGTTTAGTGAGGAGGAAGCGAGCGAAACGGCTGAGGTGGAGGAGTCCAAAGCCAAAGCTGTATTGCCGCCCTTCGATCCTCTTTCTCCTGCCCTGTCTGGGTCTGGAAGCGAAGCGCGTCTCAAGTTACGTCTGGCAAAGGTCCAGATGGAGGAGCGTGCGAGGATAGCGGAGCGTCAGGCTGAGCTGGAGCTGCAGCTTGAAATCCGCCGTCTGGAAATTGACGCGGATAAGCAGATCAAGTAGCGGGAACTCGAATTGAGAGTTGCCAGAGACGCACCAGGTCCTCCTGTTCCAGTAGCCCCCGCTTCATTACAGATTTCTCCTCCCGTGCCATTGGTTCCTCCTGCGCCATCGGGTCTGCCTGCTCAGCTTGCACCTGCAGTAGGAGCTGATGCTGCAAGGAGAGTAGGATTATCAGGTAGTACATTTGATGTGAGTAAACACACAGTTTAGAGAGATTGAGACTGACTCGTATTTTAATGTTTTTGAGCGAATTGCTTCGGCTTTGAATTAGCCTAGAGATGTATGGTCTTTGTTACTACAGTGTAAGCTAACGGGAAAAGCCCAGGAAGTGTGTGCTGTCTTGTCTTTGGAAGACAGTTTGAACTACGATGTTGTTAAAGCGACCATTTTGAGAGCTTATGAACTTGTACCTGAAGCTTATAGGCAGCGATTCAGAAATTATTAAAAAAAGTTCGAGTCAGACGTTCGTTGAATTCGCTAGGGAAAAGGCTATGCTGTTTGACAAATGGTGCGTAGCAAGTAAAGTTACAGATTTTCAGGCACTACGTGAATTAATTTTGCTCGAAGAATTTAAGGGTTGTATTTCTGAGCGTACTGCAGTTTACTTAAATGAACAGAAAGTAAGCTCATTGTCAAATGCGTCTGTTCTTGCTGATGAGTTCGCGCTGACTCACAAAACTATTTTTACTGCCCGTGCTGAAAAAGTTATTTCCATTTCCCCTGTTTTGAAAGACCAGTCACGTTTTAAGTCTACCGGTACAAAAGTTAGGGAAGAGAGAGAGTGTTTTTATTGTCACAAAACTGGCCACGTGATTGCTGATTGCCTTGCTTTAAAACGCAAGCAGCAACATAATCCTCCTAAAAGTGTTGCTTTTGTAAAGACTGTTGACGTGATTGAAAATGAAAATCATGATAAAATAGATGTGGGCTATCAACCTTTTTTGATGGAAGCATTAGTTTCTGCTGATGCTCAGTCTACAAATCAGGTTAAGGTGACCATGTTGCGTGATACAGGTGCGATGCACACGATCGTGGCTAAGGACGTGTTTCTTTTTTCTGATGAAACTTTTTGCGGTAGCTATGTTTTGGTACGAGGTATCGGAATGGGGACTGTCAGAGTTCCTTTACATCAGATTCATTTGCGGTCAGAGTTGTATACAGGAATGATTAAGGTTGGAGTGCGTGAAAATTTGCCTGTGTGCGGGGTAAAATTTATCTTTGGTAATGATGTGGCCGGTGGAAAGGTTACACCTTTCTTAGAAGTTTGTGACAAACCTGATATGTCTGATATCTTGATGAAATGTCTGAAAGATTCCCTGAAGTCTTTCCTGTTTGTGCAGTGACGCGAGCCTTGGCTACAACCTTTATGGCATCTACTTTTGAGCATGGTATTTTGATGGTTGATGAGAGTGAGGCAGATGGAAAACCTGATTCCATTTTGAATGATGTAAAATTACCAGTGACTCGAGATAATATTTTTGCAGCTCAAGGAGCCGATGTTACCCTGCGTAAATGTTTTTTCTCTGTTGTACCTTTGGAGTTAGCACATGAGAGAAAAACCGCTTACTATGTGGATAACGGATTGCTAATGCGTAGATGGTGCACAAATGTCTCAGATGATTTTGAGTGGTCTGCTGTTAATCAAATTGTTGTTCCAGTGTGTTACAGACAAGTTGTACTTTCTTTGGCCCATGATCATGCTTTGTCTGGACACCTGGGCATTAAGAAAACGTATAACCGAATTTTGAAGCACTTTGTTTGGCCCAGATTAAAGTCTGATGTAATGAAATATTGCAGAACCTGTTGTACTTGCCAATTTTCAGGGAAGCCGAACCAAGTAATTCCGCGCATACCACTTGTTCCTATACCTGTGATGGGGGAACCTTTCGAGCACGTCATTGTCGATTGCGTTGGTCCTTTGCCTAAGACAAGAGCTGGGAACCAGTACTTGTTAACGATGATGTGTGCGGCGACACGTTTTCCGGAGGCGATTCCGCTGCGGAAAATAACGGCTCCTGTAATTACTCATGCAATCGTGAAATTATTTTCAATGTTTGGGTTACCGAGAACTGTACAAACCGATCGGGGTACAAATTTTCTGTCGAAACTTTTTGCTCAAGTGTTAGAGACTTTGAAAATTTCTCATAGAGTCGCAAGTGCGTACCATCCAGAAAGTCAAGGGGCATTAGAACGATTTCACCAGACGTTGAAATCTAAGCTTCATAAATTCTGTATGGAGACTAGCAAGGATTGGGATGAGGGCACACCCTTAGTTTTGTTTGCTGTCAGGGAAGCAGTACAGGATAGCCTGGGGTTTAGTCCTGCTGACCTAGTGTTTGGACATACTGTGAGGGGTCCATTAAAGATGCTTAAAAAAAGACCTGTTATCTTCTGAGTTTACTGCTAAAACGACTGTGCTGGAGTACGTGAGCAAATTTCGTGAATGTTTGCATCATGCTTGTGCAGTGGCGAAAGAAACTTTATCAAAAGCGCAGGTCACTATGAAAGATCATTTTGATCGTAAGTCTGTGTCACGTCACTTTAAAGAAGGAGACCAAGTGCTAGTTTTTTTGCCTGTTGTTGGTTCAACTTTGTCTGCACGTTTTTCAGGTCCGTACGAGGTGATGAAGAAATTGATTGATACCGACTATGTAATTCGAACACCTGATCGCAGGAAAAAAATCTCGTGTGTGTCATGTCATAATGCTAAAGGCATATTGTGTTAGAGAGTCATCACAAAATGCTGTGAGTTCAAATGAGTTAGATTCTCATTCGCCTATTGTTACCCTTACTTGTGAGGTCATTACTGATAGTCCTGATGATGAAGATGATGGGGTGATAGTTCGGCATACATATCAGCAATGTGCCAGACTTA